CACATCATGATATGTTTGACATTTGGGCAAGTATAAACGTGAAGTCCACATGAGTGCATTTAGAAGGGCATTAAATAACTGCCTTGCACTTCTAATTGGAACTCATGCTGAACAATATTGTGGGATTTCTACTATTAGAATAATGATTGAGGCATCAAATTCTATATGGAGTTATCAGTTAGTACTACTATAATCCTGATGTTAATTGTTAATGCTGAGGGTTGTGGTGCAACTCACAATTGTAAATTTTTTGACTAAGAATGGAGCGATTTTATGTCATTTGGAAAGAAGAGGTGACAAATCTCATGGGGGAGTTTTTACCGAATGCTAGGGCATAGACCTTTAAACCTAATTATTTTGTGAATCAGATTCGGTATGTCTTATTTTGGGAATTTTTGTGAAAAATAACCTTATTTACTTCAAATTTTGTGAAAAAACTATCTTATAAAAATATTGTTCTAAGAAACTACCTTATAAAAACTAAATGTTGTAAGTTACTACCATATGCTTGGTTTGACAACGAAAGAGAAGGGGAATTAGGGGTTATAAGAGGGCAATGGAGAAATTAGGTGGGAAAAGGATAAAAAGTTATTGAAAATGAGTCATTAAATGTCCCTTATTCAATGCAATAATCTGGCAAAAAATAGCTTCTTGTAACATTTAGTGTTTCACAAGGTAGTTTCTTATAACATTTGGTTTTTATAAGGAAGTTTCTTACAACTTTTTTTTAATAAGGTAGTTTTTCATAAAAACTGAAATGTACAAGGTAATTCTTCACAATAATTTTTATTTCTTTTATTTATGTAGAAACCACATTAATTGACCCAATTCAAGACTTTTTGGAGGCTTAGTTTACTCTTTTAATGTTGATCGATTTTGCTAGTTTAGAGATGCAAAATAAGCAATAGGAGTTGATTAATGTCAATTTCTTTCTGATGTCTTCCACAAAATACTCCAGGATAGCCCTAATTTTAGAGCATTATAGGGAAGCAAGGAACAACACTATTGTGGAAAGGCTCGTGGCCTGTTTACCCATAAATATGAATATCTAATCATCTATCTTCACATTTAGTTTTTAATATTAAAGCTAAGGCAATAGGGATCCCCTATGTCTTTTTGTGCCTCAATGAACTTCATTAAAGCGAGGCACACTTGTAAATTTTAAAAAATTGGTGCAAAGATTTGACCTCAGTCTACCTATGCATTTTTTTTTAATTTTGTTTATACCCTTCTCACTGTAGGATTCTCCATCTGTCGGAACTTTAAAAGCACAGAAGACACAATAATGAGGAAATGGGGTGTGGTAATCTTATTGTTTATTAATTTATTTGACAATATGACAATATTTTAATGACCAAACTTTGCTTAGTGAAGACTGGCTTAAGAAGCTTGGAATTACACCCTAAATCTATTCTTTGATTAGTTAGTCCACTTATGAGCTTGCTTTAAGGATCCTAGTAATCAATACTGTTCCACAAGTCAACTAGTCAAATGCTTGAGAGTAAAGGGAAGATAAAGGTATCCCCTTCTCTCTAGCACAAGTAGATGCGAACTTGTGAATTCGAAGTTGCAAGGTAGGTTTTCAATTATCTCCACTAATCATTGATGGTTGCCATCTTCTGATTGGAGTATCACAAGATATACACAAATCTAAAGGTATGTATGCTTCTAGGGTCATCTAAAAAGTTGACCTTCCTCCCATCCTCAGCATAAAACTATCAGTAGAATTACCTCTGTTGACTTGAACTCCTGGTCACTTACAATTAGACTACTGACATTATGACAAAATTAACACAAAGTTCCCCGTTTGCTACACCCGACAATAGCTACTTTGGGGAATGTAGGGTTGAAAAGAAAAACTTTGTATTGTTTGGTGTAGAGAGTGAGCAATTATATGCAGTGAGACTGTAGTTTCGGTAATTGGAGGTTTTTCTTAAATCTAACGTCCAATAAACACGATAGAAAATTTGTTCTATGTATCAAAATTTCACCATATTCAAGGATGAGCCACTAGAAACGTTTTTTTTTTTTTTTTACTTCCACCGTTTTTTATTAGATGCATTACTTTCTAAATGTGGAAGTTTTAATTTAGATACATCACTTTCTCTTTTAGTTAATAAATTCTCTATCTTTCTCCTATCACATGACACTCTTTATTTTTTCTCTATATCTAATTGCCTAGGAGTACGCAATTATAAAAAAAGATGCAACTAAATAAAAATGGAGGAAGTATATGTTTTTTTTGGTGGCAAAATCTAGAGCCATTTTCTACTCCATGCAAAAATTCTCTTCATGTCTATCATTCGTAGCACTTGTTCTTTCTAGCTGCCTCCTATAAGATTTTCTTTCACTCCTGTTATATATATATATATATATATATATATATATATATATATATATATATATATATATATATATATATATATATATATATATATATATATATATATATATATATATATATATATATATATATATATATATATATAAAATCACTTATGATTCTATGAAATTCTTAGAACTCATAAAATTTTGAAGATGAAATGACAATACAAAAGAGACTGGACACACAAGAACCATTAGATTAGGGTGAAATGAACCCTGTATGAATGAATTTGTGCTGTTCAGTTGACAAAATTGTAAGTTATGGAGCCTTTCATGGTCTTCCTCCCAAAATAACTAGGGTAATCGAACAATACAATTGACTTTCAGTGGCTAGTGGTGACCCTCTTGCTCACCAGGTTGCCCAAATGGTGATTCTCTTCGGCTCACTAACTATGAGAACACCGCGGCAATTAAGTGCATGGCTATGGCTTTCACACCATGTGAGAAGGTCAAAGACATGAAAGCTATCGATTGAATTTCAATGACTTAGTTTTGTTTTACATGGGTTTCATATTTAATCTTATAATATACTCCTTGCGTTTTTAAATCCTTGCTCCATTTCTCATTACGTGGACTTTTAGGAGAAATTGAAAAAAGTAATAAAATATGAAAATACTGGGTTAGGTGGAAAAATAAAAAATTGTAAAAAGCAAAAGTAGTTGAGAGATTTGGAGGAGAGAGAATATTAAATTAATAGAATATAATTTATGTTGGGCCACTAGTTGAGATAAATGAATTAAATATTGTAAAAACTTTCCAAATAAGGAAATAGAGCAAATATTTAAAAACGGCTGGAAATGAAAAGTGCAACAAGTATTTAAAAACAAAGGGAGTATATTTTTCTAGCAATAAATGAGATTATCTATACTTAGTTAGGGGTGTGAAACAAATCAAGTCGGGTCGGGTTCGTGTTCGGGTTAGCTGACCCCTAATCCCAACCTGATCCATTTAAGTTTTCAGGTTGATAAACTCACCTGAACCAGATATTTTCGGGTTCGGGTCAACCCAAAAATGACCTGATATGACGTGATTTTTGTTTTGGGTCTAAATCAGGTTACCTTTACTTGAAAATGACCTGAAATGTGAAAGGAATGGTGTCCTTCCAACAATTGTATTATTCTGACAGAGGGTTCAGAATTATTAGAAAGCTTATTCTTCAGTAAGGTCAAGTGATCGGAATGCCTAGGTGGAGGCCGCTTCCGATCAGTAATATTAATGTGTAATTAATATTACAACTTAATCTTGACTGAACCCTTTGGGTCACACCCAATCGATTAAACCGATTCGAGACGACGAATTAATCCGAAGGATTAAATGAGTCGTTAGAGTATTACGAACAAAGACATTAGATATCGTGCTTAGAGCATCGAGACCGAGTGTCGCAAGTCGAGTCGAATTTAGAATTCGACGAGACGAGAAATCAAGCAAGCGACAAGTTTGAGCTAAGCCGTAGCCTCGCATTTGCCTAGCAATGCGAGTGCTAGGCTAGCTTAAGATGCCATGCGCATCACTAGGCATACCGCAAGCAAGCTAACAACTAGCGCATGCTAGCGTGCTAGTGTGCTGGGCCACGCACCCAGTCGCATCAACGCTAGCTCAAGCACAGCAGCAGCGCGCTATGCGTGCTGTGCTATGGTGATGTGTGCTAGAATAGTAGCCTCACGCATCGCAGCCTCTCACACACAGCCACACATCGCAACATCGCCTAGCATTGCAGCGTGCTATGTGCTGTGGTTGTGCATGCTTGCGTGCTGGGCATCGCAACATGCTATGTGCTAAGGCTAAGCATGCTTGTGTGCTAGGCAGCGTCTAGCATAAGCAACAGGTGTCAGGCAGTGCCTCGTATACGCTACGCATCAGCAGCAGTCCGCATTGCATGCATGGCTTGCTGGCTGCGTGCGCGCGTATGCAGGCTGGCTAGCCAGCCCAACCAAGGTGCTAGGCACCAGTTAGGCAGCCTTGGCAGCCAAGACAGGCAGGCTGCCAACTATGCGTGGGCTGCTCTTGAGTTTTGGTGGGGACCGATGCTTGGTGGCCTTGCTTGGGGAGCAAGGGGATTTTTGGTCCCCCCCCCCCTTTAGTGGCCTCACCTACCCTTGCTCACCCTTTGCCACTTGGATCTTGTTGATTGCATTACATTTTAATTTATTTTTGAGTAAAATAAATTGGTGGATAAATGCAATTTTCCCACATTGATGGGAGAACGGAGATCAAGTCTCCTTTCCCTATAAATACCCAAGTTTGGGTTTGGGAAAAACCACTTGAGTTGAACTCAATAAGGCATCTCCCTATAGGTGAGAAAACCTTTAAGTTCGTAATACTCTAGTCTTTTCTTGGTCTAGCCCTGACTAACCTTCGAGATAGAGGTCGTTCAGGTCAGGTCTCGAGGGTGGACTCCGTCGGAGGTTTTCGCGCTTGCGGAGCTAAGGCTTTGAAGTCCGAGCTCTATAGGAGTGAAGCATGCGTCGAGGGTAAGAATGTCATTTCCCTTTCTCTTTATTTTGTTGTTTAGTTATGTGATTAAATTCTTAGTTACTTTAATTAGTGAGCGGGTCTTGGATGGATTTCTCTTCCGCGTAGCGTTGGACGCTACGAAACCCAACAAAATGGACATGTTTTTTTTTAAAACCCAATATGTCTCAAATAACCCAACAACAATACAAGTATACAACATAACTACATAGGTTTGGTGTTTCAATCATTCAAAAGCTTCAAAAATCCAAATTAAACCACAAGTCTAAGTACCTAAATTATTATTACAAACCAAGTTTTCTTAACAAATCAGAAACTAAGTTCCCAAAGCTACCAAGTTCTAAAACATAAGTTCATTTAAAATGTTGTCAAATAATATTGGACGATGCAATAGGTTTTTTCCTTGAGTCAAGGTCGGGCAATGTATGTGGAGTGTCTTCCTTGTTTCCCACCTCAAGTTTCGTAATTGAACCACAAAGCATTTCCAATTGAGGTTCCATACAGTCTACAAAAAGAAAAAAAAAGTTTAAAGCAAGTTAAGATATATTATATGACATGTACTAATTAAAAGTAAGGTAGCAATGTAGCAAATTAAATAATTTACTACCTTCCCCAAAGGCCCAATCCCTTAGGCAAATAATAGCCTCCACCGTTTCTGGCTTTAATAAACTTCTAAAACAATCAAGTACCCGACTTTCGGTACTAAAAGCTGATTTGGGGGCCACAATAGACACGGGGACATCAAGGACATCCTTAGCCATTTGACCTTGTTGTAAAGTCCTACTAGATTGAAGTTCAACATGTGCAACACAACTTAAAAACCTTTGTTTTCTAGCTTGAGAACTCTTACAATACTTGACACTCTCTCTAATCTTACATACAACCCCATCAATCTCTTTTAAACCATCTTGAACAACTAAATTAAAAATGTGAGCTAACATGAAAAAAACTCCCACCACAAATCAAGTCAAGTACCCCCTTAAGATTTTTAGCAAAAACATCATTAGAAGAAGCATTATCTAATGTAATTGAAAAAATATTTTTTTGAATGCCCTATTCCTTTAACAACCCATACACATGATCACATAAATGAATTCCCGTAAGGGGAGAAGCAATGTAAGAGAAGTTCAGGATCTTGTTTTGCAAACACCAGTACTTATCAATGTAATGAGCCGTTAGTGAAATATAATGATCGGTTGCTATAGATTTCCAACAATCAGAAGTCAATGCAATTTTACTAGCACAAGAGCCCAACACCTTTTTCAATTTATCTATTTTTCCTCTTATACATCTTAAGCACATAAGATTCGATACTAGTTTCGAGTGACAACTTTAAAATCAGAATGCAAGTAATTGAAACATCTCCTAACACCCTTATATTCTACAATCTGAAATGGAAATTCATGCTCCACAATAGCAAGGCACGATAACTCACGAAAGTAATAAGCATCAAAGTTAGGAAATCGTTCCTTAAACTAGAAGATCTTTTCTCTAAAATCATTTGACTAACATCCCTAAAAGACCTTTTCTTACAATTTTTAAGATGACGATGAAGATTTCCAGTTCCATTCTTACTATCACCATTAAAACACAGACCACACTTTTTACATTTGCGAACTAGATTACCATTTTCATCAAGGTCATCTAAAAATTAAAAATGCACCCAAACATTAGAAGAAAGGCGACGTTGGCGTTTCTTACCAGTGAGCAAAGCAAGAGGTTTTTTAGGGCTAGTTTTGAGGCTTTTGCTGTTGGTCTTCCTTTGTCCTCCATGGTAGAATCGATTTCTTCCTCCTCTCCCGAAGAAAGTTCTTGAACATTGCCGGCCATTACCTTCTGCCAAAATATAATAACAGCTAAAACATGCAAAAACAGAAATAACCAACAAAAATTGGCAATAACAAACCATATAATAACATAAACAACAACATTTAACAACTTAAATAAACATTAACATTCGAAAATTAGCATGTGAAAAACAACATAAACAACAGAGATTCGAAAACAACATAGGGATTCGAAAATAAACAACACAAGAATTCCAAAATATATAACATAATAATCCAAAACATAATGAACAACATAAACAACAGTAATTCGAAAACAACATAAACAACATAAACCACACAAGAATTCGATTATTAACAACAAAATAATTCGAAAGTAAACAAAAATTAGCAAGTAATAAAACAAAAATAAACAATGATAAAACATGAAAATAAACAGAGGAACAACACATGAATTCAAACATAAACAACTGAGAAATTCGAAAATAAACAAAAATTAGCAAGTAATAAAATGAAAAATCAAAAGAAAATAAATATAGAAGCCAAATTCCTTGATTGATGAAGGAGAGGATTAGAGGAACGCGTTCCATACTCTCTTGGAGGACTAATGGAAAATGAGTGAACTCAGTGAAGGAGATCTGAGATTATGAGAGAGAAAGAGAAGACTGAGAAAGTGAGATGTGACACAATGACTTTTCAGATTTGAGAAAGAGAAAGTGAATGTAATATGATTTTAGGGTTTTTCTTTTTATATGGTGGCTTTTCTTTGGGCTTGGGCTTCGAATTCCGGTATTTTTAGGTTTTTTTTTTCTTATTTTTTTTATATAAGTATATTACTTTCGAGTTATCAGGTTCGGCTCGGGTTGACCTGACCTGATTTGACCCGAAAATATTTTCGTGTTAGATGGGTCTTTTTCGGGTTGAACATCTCAACCTTAACCTAACCCATTATTTATCAGGTCGGGTTCGTGTTGACCCATTTAAGTTTTCGGGTAAAAAATCTCAACCCAAACCCGCAATTTTTGGGTCGGGTTCGTTTCGAGTCAGTTTTTGCCAGCTCTATACTTAGTACTTCCTCCATATCTTTTTAGTTGACACGTTTCTTTAGTTAAATTTGCCAATGCAAAATTTCAACCATTAATATCTTTAATTACTGATAACCAAAAATTATAAAAAGTTGATATTTTAAAAATATATATCGTGACGAATCTAACAAGATATCACATAACTATATTTTTCATTACGTATAAAACACACAACACGGTCAAAGTGGAGTGAGTAAATAGTGCTAAAATCAAAACGTGTAAACTAAAAAAACAGAGGTAGTATATAATAACACAAACCAAAAATAAAACGTGTCCTTCTCTTTCTTCATTATACAAAAAATAAAAAAATAAAAAACTAACAAAAACTTATTTATAATTCATTATATGTATTTAAAATATATTTCATATCCCCTAACTAAATACAAAAACTATTTATGGGTGCATTTCAATTCTCATTCCATCCTTTTCCTTTGAAATTTTAAACTTTCATTTTGCTGAAGAAAAAACCATGTAATAAAGTAAAATAAAATAACAAAAACCTTTTTTTTCTTCTAATTTTACCATTAATTTTAATAGCACGTGCCTCCGATGGGCCTGGCTACAGTCATGAGCAAGATATTGCTATTGTAGCCTATTTCAGTAATTAACTGACTAATGAACATAGGTTTGAAAATATTTTCTTTGTTTTAACCCTTAATTCTTGTTATAATAGGTACTCCTTTCAAACTCCAGTAACTTAGAATATTAATGGTCAGTGTTGGCTATATGGGAAATTCAATGGGAATTGTGCCGGCTAGAGCCCTCTAAGTTGGAAACACAACCAGAAATAAACAAAGAATATTTAGCTAGACGTCACTTACACTTTGTTTGGATTGAAGGAAATGGAGGAAAAAGAAGGGAAGAGAAATGGAGGGATGGATTATCTTTCATTTGGATAACAAATAAGAAATGAATGGAATTGGAGGGGAGAGAAGTGAAAGGATTAAATTGTGAGAAATTAATCTCTCCAACAATGGAGAGATTTGGAAGGAAAACTCATCTTTCTTCCCTCCCCTTCCTTTCTTTTCCCTCCCCACCTCCCTCCCCTTCTTTTATTTCCCATTTCTTTATCCAAACACACCGTTAGGATTCTCAAAAGTTGCTCGTCTTTCGATGTTTCCTGTCTTAATCATATTTCCTACTTTAACCGTGTAATTCTTTATTCCAAAGTTAGCGACAGCAATATAAAACATGCATCCTAGATCAGGCAGGTTTTAACCATCCTTGGCTTTACAACAAACCCAAGAACACCTGAATGTACTAGTAGAGTGCCTCATCTAAAAAGACAGAAAATCCAAGTTAATCTTCATGATTGCTGAAGTTTGTCTATCTAAGGGCATTTTTGGTATTTCAACCTATTCAGTTGAGGATATGATTGTAAAATCCGCCTCCTAAGTTGGATTACTTCCCTTGACTGAGCATCCATGTAAAAATATGATTGCATAGTTGGACTACACGCCTTATATCACCCGTTAACAGCCGTTAGTGAACGAAAGTTTGAAAAAATTCCCCACTACTCCGAATTAAATTTTGCAAAATTCTTTCAGTAATTGGCATACACATGGCACAATTTGATTTGGAAAAAATGAGGCCTCCGATTTATGAAGACATCGGATTATTAAGTAAACATGTAATTTTACTTTGTTTATTTGTGTATTCAACATGTAAATAAATATTGTAAGTAGGTAAAGTAGAATTTAAAATTTATAGTGTAAATTAGGAGTATGGAAGTTTAATTTGTGAATTGTTATATTAGCCCCGTCTATAAAATTTAAATTTTACCTTGTCATGTTTATAACATGTCTATAATTTGAAGAGAATTTTGATAGGTAATGTTACGGATAAGTGTAATTGTAGATCTCTGGAATTGGAAATACAATTGTTCACAACACAATTGATTTACATCTGGACTATTGAAATATTGTGTATGTGTTATGTAGGATGTTTTTCAGCTCCTTTACAATAGAAGTAGATCTAGGCGTACACGATATTTGCTTTAAGATATGGTACGAAATAAATCTTTGAGGATACGACCTCCCAAATGTAGATGGTGATTTGAAAAAAAATAATCAAGCAGTTGATTAATAGATAAACACTTTGGTTTTCATATTTTTTTTATGCAAAATTACATTAAAATAGAAATTGTACTTTAATTTCACTTTTATTAATTCGTGCTTTAAGATAATTCGTGTACTATGTGTTAATGACTTATAGAACATGTCTTTGAATGCTATGGTTTTTGTTTTGACTTGTTCCATTTGATATGAGATAATTTACCAAAGGAAGCAGCCCATATCCAGGATATTAGTTAGTTGTAAATATAATAAATCTAGCTAACAAATAAATGGTTAGGCCCAAGCTCACTCAAGACACTGTTACAGAATAAGTTTAGGGCGTTTAGTGAGAGGCCCAATGACACAAACTGTAGGATATTATATACCAAAAATGACAAGTACATATTAGGGATAACAAGTCTTTAAAAATTATATGACATTTATTTGTATAATAATACCACATAATATGATAACATAAACATATATAAACAATTGACGTAAAGAAATAATATATTATGAAAATTTGTGTCATAAAAGATTTAATTAAGAAAATAAAGAGATAAAGAAGATATTGATTGATAGGTAGATTAAATTATGTTTTGTTTGGGAAACAATTAGTTTCTGTCGGTAATTAGTGTTTGGGTTAATTTGTATGTTCTTTTGGAGACTATATTAAGAAATAAAAGTTTAAGATAAACAAAAACATAATGCCTCTTTCTATTTAAAATTTACAATTTTTGACATTATTATTCTCCTTTTGATGAGTTGTCGAAATCATATTTAACTTTTCTTTTTGTACTCTTAACATTGATATTCTCATTTTGTATATTTTTACTTATTTCCATGTACTTTATGTTTCTCGCTATCTCTCTCACCCCAAATGCACACATGTACTTCTAATCATTAGTTTTAAAAAATAATCAATTTTCTTAGTTCTGGCGTAAAAACCCAAAGAAGCATTGTATTACGACTTTTGTTATGAGACGGAGGAAGTACTAATTATAAATTACTTCTTTTTAGGTCTTGTTGCACATTACTTTTCAATAAAATATTAAACTCGGTCCACAATATAGGATTTGTAATTTTACATATATCATGTAAGTTCAATCATCTACAATAATCACCTACTTCTTTTTAGGTCTTGTAGCACATTACTTTTCAATAAAATATTAAACTCGACATATATCATGTAACTTCAATCATACAATCACCTACTTCTTTTTAGGTCTTGTTGCAAATAGTCATTGAATATTGTATTATTGTATGTGAGTTTATATACAAAAGTATATGGTGTAGTGCGTATTTCATAGAATTATTGATAAATTGTTAAAAACACGTATTCCTCTGTACAATTCTTAACTTTTTTCCTATTATCCAACAAATAGCGAAGTAAGTGTGTGCTTCCCTTGCATTTTCAATTATTAGGTAAATCGAGAAAATAATTTTATCATATAATTATTGCAACAAACGTATTCAACAACTCCAACTACTAATTTGTGTTCGTGTTTAAATAAGTGTCATTTCTTTGTTTTCCAATACCTTACATTGAATATTATATTTACCAATCATTGTCCTCCTCATACCCTCCACGCAAATCAAAAAGTAATATGTATATATGAAATTTTCTCTCACAATATCTTAGTTTCAATATACTATGAAAGCCAGTTGATTTATTTTATTTGACAATAATTTTACTACCACATAATTTTTTAAATTCAATCACACAGAAATTAAGATATAATTTATCTGTCGGTTAAATTGTAATACTATTTAAAAATGGGAGGGAGTTAAAATTGATTATGTTATTACAAAACTATGATGTACCTACCTGCATTAAATGATTTACACTTATATTTAACTTTAATTTTTTCTTGTTGACCAGGAAATGTGGTGAACGTTGAAGAATTACATCTATATATATCGGGTAAGTAGCGGAAGGTTTCAATACTATCAATCTCCTTTCCTCTTTTAATTTTATTTATATCTTCCAATTGTCTTTACCTCTCCTACTTGTTTCAATCTATGATTGCAATGGCTAGACGTGCAAGAACAAGAAGTGGAAATGTAGGTCTTTTGTTTTTCAATCCACCATTCGGGCTTGTATCTAAGATGGATTTCACATCATTTCAATACATTTTCAAAAATCCTAATGAACCAACTGGTTTCATAGTACTTTCAATGGAAACAATAGCTTATTTGATTCTTAATCCTTTAAACCTTAGTTATAACGATACACTAAACAACCTTTTTATGAGGCCAATTGATGGAAATGGTTTACCACAACCCGCTCATTCACCCAACTATCACGACATATACCCAATACGTTGTGAATTTCACATGTTTTTTGAGGTGGTGTCTTGGATACCAACAATTCAACCCAAACAATTTAGTTCTGTAGACACCTAATTGTGTCTCCCCAAAAACCAAACCCAGTGATGAGTACCTTTCACGTCTTTGATTATCGAGTCAGGTGAAGAGTTGAAGAATCTCGAGGATTCCCTTTAGCCTTGACCAATTCTAACCTTTCCTTAAATGTTTTAATTCAAAATCATTCATTTCGTGTCCTTAAAATCATTCATTTTGTG